CCAGATATATAATGCTAAACTTTTTCATATGGAAACAAACTTAAGTTGCTTAAACATTGAATTTGGAACAAGCAAAGCTTAATATTTTAAACACATGAGAAATCAAATGTCAAAAAACATCTCCCTCATTAAAGGGCCGGGCTAATTTAGTTATCTCTGCTACCACAATAAAACTAGCCTTTACAGCAGCATCACTTTGTGATTTTGCTTTTGTGAACATTTTCTGCCGTGAAACCAGACTTCTTTTCATCTCCTCTACCTTCCGGAGCTTTTGCTTCATGTCCAGGTCCTTGTACTTGTCTTGGTGTTTCATTTCATAGTGTCTTCTTATGTTATATTCTTTCGTTACAGCTACGTTGGCTCCTCACACAAGACAAACAGGTCTGTCCTTTACATTAATGAACAGATAATCTTCCTCCCACCTGTCTTGAAAGCACCTGTTTTCCGTCTTTCGTTTGGCCATTTTTGGAAGGGGTGGATTAAATTTGCCCGAGGTGACTGGTAGCATGAGGTTGCTAATGAATGTCAACAGAAGGTGCTTGCGGGTCTTGATTGACGTGCCAACGCACTAGCAAAGGATTCTGGGTTTTGCAGTATTAGCGGTGCATGCGATATATACTGGTGGGCCAGCTCTAATAAACATTTAAAATGATCTCGCGGGCCAAATATACTTACTCCGTGGGCCAGATTTGGCCCGCGGGCCTGAGTTTGACATATATGGTGTAGAGAGAGTGTGTATACATGACACAGAAAGGGCACTGCCAGAGACCAAAAAAGTGTATTTGTGTGTCTAAATGAAGATTAGGTCTTTTATCTCGTTTTAGAGGATAAACAGGAAAGGATGGACCTCTCAAACCATTTCCTCTTCCCCCAAAAATTGCCCTCTGTTTACATCTGTCCATCAGTGACAGCAGGGAAACGCATACAAGATAGACAATTTTAATTTAAACACAATGCAAAGATATTTTTTGCCACTAGCAAGCAGTAGTTTACCGAAAAGAGAAAAGGCAAAAAGAGAACAAAACTAGCTTATGCAACACATCATGATTTATAGCCAAACTGTTGCAGTGCTGGTCCAAAAGTTTAATATTTTTTTTACTGAGTTTGCAACGGTGAGGGGTCTGTAAAGAAAATGTGTGAAATAATGAGGTGTAAAATAATATTCCACTTTTGGACTTCAAGCTACACAAGGTGTTTGGTTCACGTCAGCACGAGCTTCTTGTTTTTAAGTGACATGTTTGCTGCTGCCTCATTATTCACTGTGGTAGAGTTTGGAAAATCCCACAGTGCTACCACACAGTTAAAGCAGTGAAATAAAGGACATCATACAGTATGACTCTCCCCAGACCAAATGTGTGTTTGGATGTGCATTGATTAAGAAATTTTAGTTGTCACTTTGTGGCTTGCATAAAGCTCAAGACAGGCTTGCTTTGCAACCATTAAATCATTAGATTCTCCAATGTTTCCTCATATGTTTCCATCAGATCTCATTTCTTCAACACTTCTCCAGTGGTGGAGCTGTGCGTTGAGCACAGCTTGGGCTCTGGAACTTTACTCCTCGAGAGAGGCTGGACTCTCAACTACTCTGGAGTTGCCCGCGGTGAGAGGCGGCGGGCTGGTGTGGGCTTGCTCATAGCTCCCCAGCTTAGCTGCCATGTGTTGGAGTTTACCCCGGTGAACGAGAGGGTCGCTTCCCTGCACCTTCGGGTCAGGGATAGGTCTCTCACTGCCATTTGTGCCTACGGGCCGAATGGCAGTGTAGAGTACC